GTTGTCAAGAACCACGCTGTGAAGAACCACAAAGTTGTGAAGAACCACAGAGTTGTGAAGAACCACAGAGTTTGTGAAGAACTACAAAGTTGTGAAGAACCACAAAGTTGTCAAGAACCACAAATTGTCAAGAACCACAGAGTTTTTGAAGAACCACAGAGTTGTGAAGAATCACAAAGTTGTCAAGAACTACAAAGTTGTCAAGAACCACAAAGTTTGTGAAGAACCACAAAGTTGTGAAGAACCACAAAGTTGTGAAGAACCACAGAGTTTGTGAAGAACCACGAAGTTGTGAAGAACCACAAAGTTGTGAAGAATCACAAAGTTGTCAAGAACCACAGAGTTTGTGAAGAACAACAAAGTTGTGAAGAACCACAAAGTTGTCAAGAAGCACAAAGTTGTCAAGAAACACAGACTTTGTGAAGAACCACAGAGTTGTGAAAAAATACAAAGTTGTCAAGAACTATAAAGTTGTCAAGAACCACAAAGTTGTGAAGAACCACAAAGTTGTCAAGAACCACAAAGTTTGTAAAGAACCACAAAGTTGTGAAGAACCACAAAGTTGTGAAGAACCATAAAGTTTGTAAAGAATCACATTGTTCTGAAGAACCACAGAGTTTGTGAATAACCACAAAGTTGTGAAGAACTGCAAAGTTGTGAAGTACCACAAAGTTGTGAAGAACCGCAGAGTTTGTGAAGAACCACGAAGTTGTGAAGAACCACAAAGTTGTCAAAAACCACAAAGTTGTGAAGAATCACAAAGTTGTCAAGAACCACAAAGTTGTGAAGAACCACAAAGTTGTGAAGAACCACAGAGTTTGTGAAGAACAACGAAGTTGTGAAGAACCACAATTGTCAAGAACCACAACGTTGTGAAGAACCACAAAGCTGTGAAGAACCACAGAGTTTGTGAAGAACCACAAAGTTGTGAAGAACCACATAATTTGTACAGAACCACAAAGTTGTGAAGAACCACGAAGTTTGTGAAGAACCACAAAGTTGTGAAGAACCACAAAGTTTGTGAAGAACCACAAAGTTGTGAAGAACCACGAAGTTTGTAAAGAACCACATTGTTCTGAAGAACCACAGAGTTTGTGAATAACCACAAAGTTGTCAAGAACTGCAAAGTTGTGAAGTACCACAAAGTTGTGAAGAACCGCAGAGTTTGTGAAGAACCACGAAGTTGTGAAGAACCACAAAGTTGTCAAAAACCACAAAGTTGTGAAGAACCACAAAGTTGTGAAGAACCACAGAGTTTGTGAAGAACAACGAAGTTGTGAAGAACCACAATTGTCAAGAACCACAACGTTGTGAAGAACCACAAAGCTTTGAAGAACCACAGTGTTTGTGAAGAACCACAAAGTTGTGAAGAACCACAGAATTTGTAAAGAACCACAAAGTTGTGAAGAACCACGAAGTTTGTGAAGAACCACAAAGTTGTGAAGATCCACAAAGTTGTCAAGAACCACAGAGTTTGTGAAGAACCACAAAGTTGTAAAGAACCACAAAGTTGTCAAGAACCACAAAGTTGTCAAGAACTACAAAGTTGTCAAGAACCACAAAGTTGTGAAGACCCACAGAGTTTGTGAAGAACCACAAAGTTGTGAAGAACCACAGAGTTTGTGAAGAACCACTAAGTTGTGAAGAACCACAGAGTTTGTGAAGAACAACGAAGTTGTGAAGAACCACAATTGTCAAGAACCACAACGTTGTGAAGAACCACAAAGCTGTGAAGAACCACAGAGTTTGTGAAGAACCACGAAGTTGTGAAGAACCACAAAGTTGTGAAGAATCACAAAGTTGTCAAGAAAAACAGAGTTTGTGAAGAACTACAAAGTTGTGAAGAACCACAAAGTTGTCAAGAAGCACAAAGTTGTCAAGAACCATAGACTTTGTGAAGAACCACAGAGTTGTGAAAAAACACAAAGTTGTCAAGAACTATAAAGTTGTCAAGAACCACAAAGTTTGTGAAGAACCACAAAGTTGTGAAGAACCACAAAGTTGTGAAGAACCACAAAGTTTGTGAAGAACTACAAAGTTGTGAAGAATCACAAAGTTGTGAAGAACCACAAAGTTGTCAAGAACTACAAAGTTGTGAAGAACCACAGAGTTCTGAAGAACCACAGAGTTTGTGAAGAACCACCAAGTTGTGAAGAACCACAAAGTTGTCAAGAACTACAAAGTTGTGAAGAATCACAAAGTTGTCAAGAACCACAGAGTTTGTGAAGAACTACAAAGTTGTGAAGAACCACAAAGTTGTCAAGAAGCACAAAGTTGTCAAAAACCACAGACTTTGTGAAGAACCACAGAGTTGTGAAAAAACACAAAGTTGTCAAGAACTATAAAGTTGTCAAGAACCACAAAGTTGTGAAGAACCACAAAGTTGTGAAGAATCACAACGTTGTCAAGAACTACAAAGTTGTCAAGAACCACAAAGTTTGTGAAGAACCACAAAGTTGCGAAGAACCACAAAGTTGTGAAGAATCACAAAGTTTGTGAAGAACTACAAAGTTGTGAAGAATCACAAAGTTGTGAAGAACCACAAAGTTGTCAAGAACTACAAAGTTGTGAAGAACCACAGAGTTCTGAAGAACCACAGAGTTTGTGAAGAACCACCAAGTTGTGAAGAACCACAAAGTTGTCAAGAACTACAAAGTTGTGAAGAATCACAAAGTTGTCAAGAACCACAGAGTTTGTGAAGAACTACAAAGTTGTGAAGAACCACAAAGTTGTCAAGAAGCACAAAGTTGTCAAGAACCACAGACTTTGTGAAGAACCACAGAGTTGTGAAGAATCACAAAGTTGTCAAGAACTACAAAGTTGCCTAGAACCACAAAGTTTGTGAAGAACCACAAAGTTGTGAAGAACCACAAAGTTGTGAAGAATCACGTTGTCAAGAACTACAAAGTTGTCAAGAACCACAAAGTTTGTGAAGAACCACAATTTGTGAAGAACCACAAAGTTGTGAAGAACCACAAAGTTTGTGAAGAACCACAAAGTTGTGAAGAACCACAAAGTTCTCAAGAACTACAAAGTTGTGAAGAACCACAGAGTTTGTGAAGAACCACAAAGTTGTGAAGAATCACAAAGTTGTCAAGAACCAGAGTTTGTGAAGAACTACAAAGTTGTGAAGAACCGCAAAGTTGTCAAGAACCGCAAAGTTGTCAAGAAGTGAAGAACCACAAAGTTGTCAAGAACCACGTTGTGAAGAACCACAGAGTTGTGAAGAACCACAGAGTTTGTGAAGAACTACAAAGTTGTGAAGAACCACAAAGTTGTCAAGAACCACAAATTGTCAAGAACCACAGAGTTTTTGAAGAACCACAGAGTTGTGAAGAATCACAAAGTTGTCAAGAACTACAAAGTTGTCAAGAACCACAAAGTTTGTGAAGAACCACAAAGTTGTGAAGAACCGCAAAGTTGTCAAGTACCGCAAAGTTGTCAAGAAGTGAAGAACCACAAAGTTGTGAAGAACCACAGAGTTTGTGAAGAACCACGAAGTTGTGAAGAACCACAAAGTTGTGAAGAATCACAAAGTTGTCAAGAACTATAAAGTTGTCAAGAACCACAAAGTTGTGAAGAACCACAAAGTTGTGAAGAATCACAAAGTTGTCAAGAACCACAAAGTTTGTAAAGAACCACAAAGTTGTGAAGAACCACAAAGTTGTGAAGAACCACAAAGTTTGTAAAGAACCACATTGTTCTGAAGAACCACAGAGTTTGTGAATAACCACAAAGTTGTCAAGAACTGCAAAGTTGTGAAGTACCACAAAGTTGTGAAGAACCGCAGAGTTTGTGAAGAACCACGAAGTTGTGGAGAACCACAAAGTTGTCAAAAACCACAAAGTTGTGAAGAATCACAAAGTTGTCAAGAACCACAAAGTTGTGAAGAACCACAAAGTTGTGAAGAACAACGAAGTTGTGAAGAACCACAATTGTCAAGAACCACAACGTTGTGAAGAACCACAAAGCTGTGAAGAACCACAGAGTTTGTGAAGAACCACAAAGTTGTGAAGAACCACAGAATTTGTAAAGAACCACAAAGTTGTGAAGAACCACGAAGTTTGTGAAGAACCACAAAGTTGTGAAGAACCACAAAGTTTGTGAAGAACCACAAAGTTGTGAAGAACCACGAAGTTGTGAAGAACCACAAAGTTGTCAAGAACCACAAAGTTATCAAGAACCACAAAGTTGTGAAGAACCACAAAGTTGTGAAGAACCACAACGTTGTGAAGAACCACAGAGTTGTGAAGAACCACAGAGTTTGTGAAGAACCACTAAGTTGTGAAGAACCAGAGTTTGTGAAGAACCACGATGTTGTGAAGAACCACTGACTTTGTGAAGAACTACGAAGTTGTGAAGAAACACAAAGTTGTGAAGAACCACAGAGTTTGTGAAGAACCACAGAGTTTGTGAAGAACCACAAAGTTTTCAAGAACCACAGAGTTTGTGAAGAACTACAAAGTTGTGAAGAACCACAAAGTTGTCAAGAACCAGTTTGTAAAGAAACACAAAGTTGTGAAGAACCACGAAGTTTGTGAAGAACCACAAAGTTGTCAAGAACCACAAAGTTTGTGAAGAGCCACAAAGTTGTGAAGAACCACGAAGTTGTGAAGAACCACAAAGTTGTGAAGACCCACAAAGTTGTGAAGAACCAAAGAGTTGTGAAGAACCACAAAGTTGTGAAGAACCACAAAGTTGTGAAGAACCACAGAGTTTGTGAAGAACCACGATGTTGTGAAGAACCACAGACGTTGTGAAGAACCACGAAGTTGTGAAGAACCACAAAGTTGTGAAGAACCACAAAGTTGTCAAGAACCACAGAGTTTGTGAAGAACTACAAAGTTGTGAAGAACCAAAAAGTTGTCAAGAACCACAGAGTTTGTAAAGAACCACAAAGTTGTGAAGAACCACGAAGTTTGTTAAGAACCACAAAGTTGTGAAGAACCACAAAGTTGTGAAGAACCACGAAGTTTGTTAAGAACCACAAAGTTGTGAAGAACCACAAAGTTTGTGAAGAACCACAAAGTTGTGAAGAACCACAAAGTTGTGAAGAACCACAAAGTTGTGAAGAACCACAAAGTTGTGAAGAACCACGAAGTTGTGAAGAACCACAGAGTTTGTAAAGAACCACGATGTTGTGAAGAACCACGAAGTTGAGAAGAACCACAAAGTTGTGAAGAACCACAGAGTTTGTGAAGAACCACAGAGTTTGTGAAGAACCACGAAGTTGTGAAGAACCACGACTGCTTGTCGTGTTTATCGACTGACACACCTCACCGGCTCGCTCTCGAGATGGCGCGTCTCGGGTAAGCACCGGGCACCGTGGGACCGCGACCTCTGCTTGGTGGTGGTGGTTGTTGTGGTTGTTATGGTGGTTGTTGTAGTTCTTGTTGTTGTGGTTGTTGTAGTTGTTGTGTGTGTTGTTGTTGTGGTTGTTGTGTTTGTTGTTGTTGTTGTGGTTGTTGTTGTGGTTGTTGTGGTGGTTGTTGTGGTTGTTGTGTTTGTTGTTGTGGTGGTTGTTGTGGTTGTTGTGTTTGTTGTTGTTGTGGTTGTTGTGGTGGTTGTTGTGGTTGTTGTGGTGGTTGTTTGTTGTTGTTGTGGTTGTTGTTGTGGTTGTTGTTGTGGTTGTTGTGGTTGCACGGTGCGTGAGGCAGCGCGCAACATCCCAGCCTGTGATGGGTGCAGCTGCAGGTGCAGCAGGAGGAGGAGGGCGCAGCTGGCAATGGGGACACGGCCACTCCGACCACCCACAGCAGGGCGGGCAACCCCACACGCATCAGCCACGAGACAGGCATTCTACTGCCAGGGGGCGACATCACCATCCTGCTGCTGCTGGTGAGTGGTGGTGGTGAGTGGTGGTGAGTGGTGGTGAGTGGTGGTGAGTAGTGGTGGTGTCGTGGTGGTGGTGAGTGGTGGTGAGTAGTGGTGGTGGTGAGTGGTGGTGTCGTGGTGGTGGTGAGTAGTGGTGGTGTCGTGGTGAGTGGTGGTGGTGGTGAGTAGTGGTGGTGGTGAGTGGTGGTGGTGAGTGGTGGTGGTGAGTAGTGGTGGTGTCGTGGTGGTGGTGAGTGGTGGTGAGTAGTGGTGGTGGTGTCGTGGTGGTGGTGAGTGGTGGTGAGTGGTGGTGGTGTCGTGGTGGTGAGTGGTGGTGGTGAGTGGTGGTGGTGAGTGGTGGTGAGTGGTGTCGTGGTGAGTGGCGGTGGTGTCGTGGTGGTGAGTGGTGGTGGTGTCGTGGTGGTGGTGAGTGGTGGTGGTGAGTGGTGGTGGTGGTGAGTGGTGGTGGTTTGTGTTCCGCTGCTCTACGAACCTGGCGACCCGGATCCCACTCACGGCCAACACCGGTGACGATTATCCGAACCGGTCCTGGGCCTCCTCCCCTAGGTCGACTCAGCCTCAAATGAGGCCCTGGTGCGGTGTGTAAACATCGCCACCGGGGAGACAAAGGCGGCCGGGCGTGGTGTTGGCCACCCACCCCCTCCGTGTGCCACAGTGCCGGCCTGAATACGCGCTACTCGCTAACGGCACTTGCCCCTAGAGTCTGACAGGCTACACGGGGCTCCTTTGTCTTTGGTGCCACTGGAGGGGCGCCTGCAGACCGGCAGGTGGCAGGTGACCGCGCGGGAGATCCATTCTCGACTAGTGGTGGTCGTCCATCCTCGACTGTTGGTGGTCGTCTATCCTCGACTAGTGGTGGTCGTCTATCCTCGACTAGTGGTGGTCGTCTATCCTCGACTGTTGGTGGTCGTCTATCCTCGACTAGTGGTGGTCGTCTATCCTCGACTAGTGGTGGTCGTCTATCTCGACTGTTGGTGGTCGTCTATCCTCGACTAGTGGTGGTCGTCTATCCTCGACTAGTGGTGGTCGTCTATCCTCGACTAGTGGTGTTCGTCTATCCTCGACTAGTGGTGTTCGTCTATCCTCGACTAGTGGTGGTCGTCTAATTCTCGACTAGTGGTGGTCGTCTATCCTCGACTGTTGGTGTTCGTCTATCCTCGACTAGTGGTGGTCGTCTATCCTCGACTAGTGGTGGTCGTCTATCCTCGACTAGTGGTGGTCGTCTATCCTCGACTAGTGGTGGTCGTCTATCCTCGACTAGTGGTGGTCGTCTATGCTCGACTAGTGGTGGTCGTCTATCCTCGACTGTTGGTGTTCGTCTATCCTCGACTAGTGGTGGTCGTCCATCCTCGACTGTTGGTGCTGGTCTATCCTCGACTAGTGGTGTTCGTCTATGCTCGACTAGTGGTGGTCGTCTATACTCGACTGTTGGTGTTCGTCTATCCTCTACTGTTGGTGTTCGTCTATCCTCGACTAGTGGTGGTCGTCTATCCTCGACTGTTGGTGTTCGTCTATCCTCGACTGTTGGTGGTCGTCCATCTCGACTGTTGGTGGTCGTCTATCCTCGACTAGTGGTGGTCGGCTATCCTCGACTAGTGGTGGTCGTCTATCCTCGACTAGTGGTGATCGTCTATCCTCGACTGTTGGTGGTCGTCTATCCTCGACTGTTGGTGGTCGTCTATCCTCGACTAATGGTGGTCGTCTATCCTCGACGGGACACTTTTTGCCATTATAATTTTGATGCATCTCAACTCGAGCTGGACATAAGTAAACATGTACAGTACAACTAAATAGTTTAACATGTTGCAGGCTTTCGCGACCAATATCATCCATAACTACGTCTACAACCCACCACCACCACCCGACACAGCCAACTAGTAAGGGTTGCCACGTAAACATCACACAAATCTGGCTGTCGCCTGATGAAGCTAGTTGTAATTACTGGCGAAACGTCGTACTCAGATTCTAAATGTTGTGGCTTTGCTCTCTAACACACCGGTTAGTGCTGTACTAGTATACTACACTATACACTACTATACACTAGTGCTGTACTAGTATACTACACTATACACTAGTGCTGTACTAGTACACTACACTATACACTACACTATACACTAGTGCTGTACTAGTGACGAATTGGCCACGTTCCGTTTACGTGACAACCCTTACTAGTTGGCTGTGTCGGGTGGTGGCGGGTTTAACGACGCAACATTTATATATTTACGCGATCTAACCCAAAAACAACCTTGTATTACAACTGAAGACATACACAGTGCTGTACTTGAGGAACACACATCAGAGTACCAATACCTACATCAGAGTACCAATCTGGATCAATATTTTCAAATATAAGCGAGCGAAAGCAGGTTGGAGTGCTTTTGGAAAACTGAAATTGATTTTTAAAAGCTGCCTATAGAATTACGTTTTTAATGACACATTGATCAGAGATTCATAGAGAAAATGCAACGAATGCTGAAGTGTTGCTTGGAATTACGCCGACACACAGGAAGAGTAACGCATGGGTCAAGGAACGTGTACACGTTACAGACATCATATTGATGGTTAAATAACGTGTACAAGTTACAGACATTGATGGTTAAAGAACGTGGACACGTTACAGACATTGATGGTTAAAGAACGTGTACACGTTACAGACAACATATTGATGGTTAAATAACGTGTACACGTTACAGACATCATATTGATGGTTAAAGAACGTGTACAAGTTACAGACAACACATTGATGGTTAAGGAACGTGTACAAGTTACAGACATATTGATGGTTAAAGAACGTGTACACGTTACAGACAACATATTGATGGTTAAAGAACGTGTACACGTTACAGACAACATATTGATGGTTAAGGAACGTGTACACGTTACAGACATATTGATGGTTAAAGAACGTGTACACGTTACAGACATATTGATGGTTAAAGAACGTGTACACGTTACAGACATCATATTGATGGTTAAAGAATGTGTACAAGTTACAGACATCATATTGATGGTTAAAGAACGTGTACACGTTACAGACATATTGATGGTTAAAGAACGTGTACACGTTACAGACATCATATTGATGGTTAAAGAATGTGTACAAGTTACAGACAACATATTGATGGTTAAAGAACGTGTACACGTTACAGACATCATATTGATGGTTAAAGAACGTGTACACGTTAGACATATTGATGGTTAAAGAACGTGCACACGTTACAGACATATTGATGGTTAAAGAACGTGTACACGTTACAGACATATTGATGGTTAAAGAACGTGTACACGTTACAGACATCATATTGATGGTTAAAGAACGTGGACACGTTACAGACATCATATTGATGGTTAAAGAACGTGTACACGTTACAGACATATTGATGGTTAAAGAACGTGTACACGTTACAGACATATTGATGGTTAAGGAACGTGTACACGTTACAGACATTGATGGTTAAAGAACGTGTACACGTTACAGACATATTGATGGTTAAAGAACGTGGACACGTTACAGACATTGATGGTTAAAGAACGTGTACACGTTACAGACATAATATTGATGGTTAAAGAACGTGGACACGTTACAGACATCATATTGATGGTTAAGGAACGTGTACAAGTTACAGACATTGATGGTTAAGGAACGTGTACACGTTACAGACATCATATTGATGGTTAAAGAACGTGTACACGTTACAGACATCATATTGATGGTTAAAGAACGTGTACACGTTACAGACATCATATTGATGGTTAAAGAACGTGTACACGTTACATACATATTGATGGTTAAGGAACGTGTACACGTTACAGACATCATATTGATGGTTAAAGAACGTGTACACGTTACAGACAACATATTGATGGTTAAAGAACGTGTACACGTTACAGACATCATATTGATGGTTAAAGAACGTGTACACGTTACAGACATCATATTGATGGTTAAGGAACGTGTACACGTTACAGACATCATATTGATGGTTAAAGAACGTGTACACGTTACAGACATCATATTGATGGTTAAAGAACGTGTACACGTTACAGACATCATATTGATGGTTAAAGAACGTGTACACGTTACAGACATCATATTGATGGTTAAGGAACGTGTACACGTTACAGACATCATATTGATGGTTAAAGAACGTGTACAAGTTACAGACAACACATTGATGGTTAAGGAACGTGTACACGTTACAGACATTGATGGTTAAAGAACGTGTACAAGTTACAGACATCATATTGATGGTTAAAGAACGTGTACACGTTACAGACATCATATTGATGGTTAAAGAACGTGTACATGTTACAGACATATTGATGGTTAAAGAACGTGTACAAGTTACAGACAACACATTGATGGTTAAGGAACGTGTACAAGTTACAGACATCATATTGATGGTTAAAGAACGTGTACATGTTACAGACATCAGATTAATGGCCAAGGAACGTGTACAAGTTACAGACATGACATTGATGGTTAAAGAACGTGTACACGTTACAGACATCATATTGATGGTTAAAGAACGTGTACACGTTACAGACATCACATTGATGGTTAAGGAACGTGGAAGATACCACACTTAAAGGGGTAATCACTGCCCATCGCTGGAAAAGGGAAATGCTCTTGAGACAGAATAGCTCTGAACGTCAAAAGCAGCGGGACCAGCTATTCAAACAAAATTAGTTGAAATGTACTAAGTGTTTACAGGATATATATTTATTGACATCCACATCCACTATGTCCATATATGTTTTTATTCATACAGAACAGATTGTCTTAATAGCAGTTGTGACCACCAAATACGGATAATAAAACTGCCTGAAAATATTGTTCATGAACATTATAACAATATTAATATTTTAATGAAGTTACAAATTTTGTTTAAAAAAAACCCAAAAACGAAAACAAAAACATTCTCATCCGCAACGTCACGTCAACAATAAAACGCCACCGTTGTTGTTTACATCGCCGCGTATGGAACAGACACGTGCCTTTTTATTTAAGCACCTAATACAAAAAAATAAACTACGTATTTAAATGTAACCTAAACAAAATGGTAAACAGCATATCTTTAATTTAAAAGTATCTAATGTTAGCAAACCAACAGTCTCATTGTTGACTCAATGCATATGTTACATTTAACCGGGCACAAGTATCATGGACAGCACTCGATCCCTAGTCGACAAGCTTCAGCCAGCCTTTCTGGTAGTCTTGCAGGAGCTCCAGATAATACTGCCACCCAGGCTCGCTGTCGTACGTGACGACGTAGATGGCCTCCAGGGGATCGTCGTGCTCCTCGTACAGCTGCGTCACCACTCCCTGGTACCACCTCTCCGTGTCCTCGTCATCGTACAGATGCAGCACACGCCTCCCCACCAGGTCTGGGTACAAGTCTCCGCCCGTCTTCTTTTCACTCGGGGGCTCCTCTCGTCTGCCTCCGTCCGCGTTTCCGTCCGCCCGTTGTCTGCCGCGCGACAATTTCGGGGAAGTCTCGCTCCGGCCGCTTTTGCGCTTGCATCTGGTTTTCTTCCCAGGCACCACCTGGACGAGCCGTCGTTCAGAACTCGCGCCTCTCTGCGACCTTAGTTGAATTCCGGACGTCTTCTGCCTCAGAGACCTTCGTAACGTTGGCATCTGTTTTTTTAGCTTTTTCTCAGCCACCTGGGCACTTGCCCTCAGGTGTTTAAGTCTTGGCCGTTTCACCTGGCCACATCCAGGGGATGCCTCTTCTGTCAAAGGGTCACGTACGTGCTTTTGGTCCTTGTTTTCTGAACCTATGGCAGGATTTACATCGTCAAAAGCGGTTTCTTCAAATGGCACCTCAGTGTTACGGACAACCTCCAACGCTTCAAACTCTCGCTCTTGTTTATCTACAGCCTCGTTCTCGACTTGACCGCCACTCGTGGAAAATGTTTTTTCCTTTCGTGCAATCCTCAATGGGCTCTTGAGCCGAGTCCGAACTTCGTGCGCCTGATGATGGCTTCGTATTATTAAAGGTGGCACTGTTTTCCTCTTCATCACTGGGTGACCCAAGGTGTGTTCAGTGGTCGCCAACTTTACTTTTGAAGCCTGACTCTCGTCCTCAGGTTTTGCCATCACAATGGAACTTGTCATGTCCCCTTTCAGTTTCAGCAGTGGGACACGTTTCTTACTCACTTTTTCCTCCAACTTGCATACCTCTTTTTTGCTCAAATATGTGTCCGATGCCTGTTGGTGTTTATCAGTTCCAACCGACTCTTTTAGCAACCTTGGACTATACCTTTTGTGAACTCGTTGTTTGACACCATGTGCGTATTTAGACCTTTTAACTTCAAGCGGTTTGTTATTCTCTTCAATTGTATTTTCGGATTCTAAAGTTATGGAGCAATGCGCGTCATCAGCAGAGTGCTGGATCGTGCCGGGATCCTCAGGCTGGTATCTCGGAGGCGACGCCAATAATACGTTTGCAGCATCCTTTACGTCGGACGATGAAATAACCGGATAGGTGGCTGCAGAGTCGGACGACACGTCGGTCGTGGTGGAATGCGGATCCTCTCGGGGAGAAGGGGCGATCAACGACGTGCATTCTAGATTGGCGTCACTTCCACTCCGAGCGCTGTCCACTGCCGCTCCTCTTGAGCGTTCTGCGTTGTCGTCAGGAGGGCCCGTCTGCTCGCACGGATGAGAATCGTTCGTCACAACGGCCGACTCGGTGATGTCAGCACCCACGGCTTCGCCAACGGAGGGCTCCTCTTCCGCGCCCGCCGGTGACGGTTGGGGATTTTCCACCAGGCACTGTGCCTTGGAGGTGGCACCACGAGCTGCCTGGTGAGAGTCCTGCGAGGAGCAGACTCTCTCACACAACTCAATTGTCACCTCTGCTGCGTGCTCTCCCTCTCCGTTTCCTGTCGAATCAACAGGGTTCTTTTCCATCTCCGTTGCTTCATTGTTTTGATCTGCAACACAATACAGCATTACAGTCACACACTGCTCGGCAATAGTGCACACGGTTCAGGTGGCACCAACAGCAGACAACTTGGTATTTAACCAACCGACTACTGAGACAGAGAGCATCTTTATAATTCAATGAATGCGAGGCTGTCGGAAAAGATCAACAAAAATCAAGGGAAATCAATGCCCGGGCTATACTGTCCATTCGTGGGCGACACTCCACTAATGTATTATGTTAACCTTAGCTTGACAAATGCACCACACAGCAGAGATTGCAGATGCCGCCAAACTGCATCGGCAGGCACGGGAGGGGGGACCAGACCCGCAGTCACCGTGTCCACTTTGTTGAGTCAGAGTTAAAGGGGGTTTTAAATCAATACACATACATAAACAGTGAGGGAAAAAAAGTATTTGATCCCCTGCTGATTTTGTACGTTTGCCCACTGACAAAGAAATGATCAGTCTATAATTTTAACAACAAAAAAATCCAGAAAAACGCATGTCAAAAATGTTATAAATTGATTTGCATTTTAATGAGGGAAATAAGTATTTCACCCCTCTGGAAAACATGACTTAGTACTTGGTGGCAAAACCCTTGTTGGCAATCACAGAGGTCAGACGTTTCTTGTAGTTGGCCACCAGGTTTGCACACATCTCAGGAGGGATTTTGTCCCACTCCTCTTTGCAGATCTTCTCGAAGTCATTAAGGTTTCGAGGCTGACGTTTGGCAACTCGAACCTTCAGCTCCCTCCACAGATTTTCTATGGGATTAAGGTCTGGAGACTGGCTAGGCCACTCCAGGAACTTAATGTGCTTCTTCTTGAGCCACTCCTTTGTTGCCTTGGCTGTGTTTTGGGTCATTGTCATGCTAGAATACCCATCCACGACCCATTTTCAATGCCCTGGCTGAGGGAAGGAGGTTCTCACCCAAGATTTGACGGTACATGGCCCCGTCCATCGTCCCTTTGATGCGGTGAAGTTGTCCTGTCCCCTTAGCAGAAAAACACCCCCAAAGCATAATGTTTCCACCTCCGTGTTTGACGGTGGGGATGGTGTTCTTGGGGTCATAGGCAGCATTCCTCCTCCTCCAAAACTCGGCGAGTTAAGTTGATTCCAAAGAGCTCCATTTTGGTCTCATCTGACCACAACACTTTCACCCAGTTGTCCTCTGAATCATTCAGATGTTCATTGGCAAACTTCAGACGGGCATGTATATGTGCTTTCTTGAGCAGGGGGACCTTGCGGGCGCTGCAGGATTTCAGTCCTTCACGGCATAGTGTGTTACCAATTGTTTTCTTGGTGACTATGGTCCCAGCTGCCTTGAGATCATTGACAAGATCCTCCCGTGTAGTTCTGGGCTGATCCTCACCGTTCACATGATCATTGCAACTCCACGAGGTGAAATCTTGCATGGAGCCCCAGGCCGAGGGAGATTGACAGTTCTTTTGTATTTCTTCCATTTGCGAATAATCGCACCGACTGTTGTCACCTTCTCATCAAGCTGCTTGGCAATGGTCTTGTAGCCCATTCCAGACTTGTGTAGGTCTACAATCTTGTCCCTGACATCCTTGGAGAGCTCTTTGGTCTTGGCCATGGTGGAGAGTTTGGAATCTGATTGATTGCTTCTGTGGACAGGTGTCTTTTATACAGGTAACAAGCTGAGATTAGGAGCACTCCCTTAAAGAGTGTGCTCCTAATCTCAGCTCGTTACCTGTATAAAAGACACCTGGGAGCCAGAAACCTGATTGAGAGGGGGTCAAATACTTATTTCCCTCATTAAAATGCAAATCAATTTATAACATTTTTGACATGCGTTTTTCCGGATTTTTTTGTTGTTATTCTGTCTCTCACTGTTCAAATAAACCTACCATTAAAATTATAGACTGATCATTTATTTGTCAGTGGGCAAACGTACAAAATCAGCAGGGGATCAAATACTTTTTTTCCCTCACTGCATGTGAACCCTCAAGAGATCGATCATTTTATTTACGTTGTAATAATGGTGAGAGACACTTAGAACGGAGCACTTTGGATCATGTCAAGTTCAAAGAGTACTGAGATACTGCCAATCGGTGGCAGGATGCAGAGGTGGGCAGTACCTACAGTGCGTGTAATACAAACAAGTTAGTTTATGATGAGTGTAGTTTGTAATTGGTATGTAAACGACAAACCTCAAATTAACTGGTATTGTATCTAAATTACAAGACATTCCGTTAATTGATTGTTTGTATAAACATCACAATTCTCCAGTACGTTATCATTTGAATGTATTTTGGCAAACTCTGCCGAGATGGTAGTACAGAAATTGAGTTTGTAATATATCTCGATAAATTTCGAATTCCAAAATTATTTAAATTAAATCTAATAATCATAAATTAGATTATTGACTGCACAATGCATTAAGATTAACTTAAAATGCACCAACTAGAGCAGTAATATTGGGAGGGAATAAAACGCGGGTTTAAATCTAATAATAATCACTTTTTAAATGATGTCAAGAAAATTTCCATTTAAACGTTTGAGAAGTTGTGAATCAACACGAATGGCAATTTCTCTGCCTGGCGACGGTCACAGGAGTGAGTCAGCAGCTGGGATGATGGAAAATCCAATCGCGAATGCCCCTCAAAAAACAGCTGCGTTTCAATCAAGTCGCATCAAGAGCATCTTACAATGCACACGGCACCAAACTGCGCTGCCAAAAATACACACGTGACCAAAGTTACCTGCACGCTGCCAGTTGCTGCAAATATCTCGTGAGGATTTACAGAACAGCCTCGCGAGAGAGCGCTGCTGATTGCTGTTGTTGAATGTGCAGTGTTAACAGATGTGCATGCAATGGATTGACTAATTACGTGGCGATGCTTTGCTGACAGTGGTGCCCAAGGACAAAAACTAAAATCTCTCAACATTCGTGTCGTGAATAAGGGCCACTGCCCACAACGATGCCTATTCAAAATCCATTTTATTCGTCAGGCAGCGCGATGGATGAACACGTGTTGAGTTTTGACGGATCGACAAGTATAATATCAATTTAATAAATATAACTTTGATATCTAGTTTTAAAGCTTTCGTGACTGCAATGATTCATCTTCTTTGGTTCTTTCGGTAAAGTCACGTAGAATGAGAATAAAATAATAAATTGATAAAATAAAATAACACAATAATATTCTCACGACGTTTCGGCCACAACACAAGCGGCCTTCATCAGGTGAAGGGAGCGAGACTGTCTGGTAGGACAGCGCTGGAGTGAGAGAGCCACGTTCAGATCACGGCTTTTAAGCCGAAGGTAATTTATATTTTAGTTTTTATTGGTTCACTATATAGTACTGTGAATAGCTCAGATGTGTAGTCATTTCTGTGACCAGTCACCAGCAAATCACCCAGTTATTTCAATGCTAAATTCGCCTAGTTATTTCAATGCTAAATTCTCCTGTTTTGATTTGTACTAAGTGCCTCAGTGAATGTGTATGCTGTGACTTCAACGTAACTATTTCTGTAGCAGTTACAAGCGAATGCCTTAATTTAGCTATTTCAATGCTAAATTCTATGCTAATTCCTTTTAACAATGGGTGCCTCTGCGGATGTGTATGCTTTAACTTTTAACATAGCTATTTCTGTGACCAGTCACAAGCTAATCATTCAGCCTTTTCAATGCTAAATTTTATGCTAATTCCTTCGTCAAGGCTCTTTGTTCCTCTCACACAGCTTAAAAGCCGTGATCTGAACGTGGCTCTCTCACTCCAGCGCTGTCCTACCAGACAGTCTCGCTCCCTTCACCTGATGAAGGCCGCTTGTGTTGTGGCCGAAACGTCGTGAGAATATTATTGTGTTATTTTATCAATTAATTATTTTATTCTCATTCTACGTGACTTTACCGAAAGAACCAAAGAAGGTTTGATATCTAGTGTTAAATATTACTAAAGATTTACTTTAAAATCGAGTGTACATTGCACTGTTTTATAGGAAACATTGCATTGAAAAATAATCTCAAATTTGTAAAACTCTCGGATGAGGCATTATAAAGATACAATGTTTTAAAGTCGAGGACTTTGGCTTCTGGCCACCGTTATTGATAGCGTACTAAAGTGAATCATTAATAATGCACAATGCAGAAAAAAAATCCCAAACGCCTCATTCTCTATTGTCGCCATGCACAGGCACACCGTGAGATCTGCATAAACAAAATTAAACGTGCGAGAGCTCACCAATACATTTCTTCATTTTCTCCAGCCAGCAACAGTACAGGAGCTCTGGGTAGACTTCCTTCAGCTTGTCAAACGGGAAGAGAGTGAATGAGCCCGTTTCCTGCGTATTCTCTGAACAACACACTGCCCCAAGCATTTTTTCTTCCCTTAGGGTTGCCGGTCTGAGGACCACCTTGCAGCACTTAAAGACGTTGAGGATGACAAGCTCAGAAAGGCCGGGAAAGAGTTTCTCTTGCAGGGCCGAGACCGGAATGAAAATCCTCTCCAATCGAGCCACGGAGGGGAATGGGCAAAGGCTCTTAGAGACCAGAGTCTGCAGTTCGCGTGCAAATTCTTCGAGGCGGGTTTGAATCGAGATGTTTTTGAGGAACATTTCTTTTGTGGTGCTGGACGCGTGCTCGTGGATTTCTGCGGACCGGCTGCTCGTCTGCGCCACGGAATGCGAGTTTGATCCCCGCTTTGTGCCGCCACCTCCTCCGTGCTTTGTGACGTACGACGCCTCCCCGGTGGGTTTGCTCTCCGACACGTGAGAAACTGTTGGCCCCCGCTTTGGGCCGTGCCTTAAATGTTGAAACGCCTGCTGAAGATTGTGGCTACTGCTGGCCGCTGACTTTTCGACCATTTCGCTCAGAAGCTGATGTAAGTTTAGCAGATGTTTGTGCAGGTGGCCTTCTGGTTTCGAGTCCACACTCAATTGACTGTTACCACCGCCTGCTTGGTTGTACGCAGATACCATGTCTACATTGGTGCTGCTATCTGGGCTGCAACGTTCGATGTTTACCGAAGCTTTGCTTTTTATTGATAGGGCACTTTCCGAACATTCAAGTTCATTTGGCAACACTTTATCACTTCTCTTTTCTAAGGCTGTACGAGGTCCTTCTTTCTGTGGACATGTTCTTGGCACAACATCTTCCAAATGTACATCGCCGCTACTTTGCTCAGGCACATTATCTCTCATACATTCTTTTTCAGTCTTCTCAGCACATTCATAATCTAGTTCCTTTTCTGAAGACCGCAGCACGTACTCTTTACAGCTTTTTAACTTGCTTAGGTCCAAGATCTCACGCTTTCCGATCTTCTCCACTGTAAGGTCAACGGGCAACTCATTTTGCTCAGTATTCTGTCCACAGAGCTGATGGTCTAAGTTGCTGACAAGTACAGTCTGAAAGTGGGGAACATGCGTGTGCAAACTGCTGTTGTTATGATCCATCTTCTCCACTACGCAGTGGTCTATGACAGAGTTTTTCCGGACACTTACATTGGCTATGCCTGGTTCCTCTTTTTTGCTTTGCAGAAGCATAGATACCGAGGAGGTTGCAACTTCTGCTCCTGCTAGTTTTGCACTCTGACCCAGATGTTTGTACGGAGGCTGGAAAAGTTGTTTATCACTGAAATGTTTTTTGCAAGATTCGTGTTTCGCAGAATATTTCACGGACTCGTTAATGGGTGGGATTACCAGCTCAACATTTGCGTATTCTTTTAAACCAACCGTTCTTGACACTGTCATTTCTTTCTTGGCAACAGGTCCAGCAGACATCGACGTTGGCGATGTTAGGTGCCCTGGCGGGGACACTTCTTGTTTTAATGAATGTAAAGATAACGTGGTGGGTGGATTGTTTACGGGGCTTTTCCCATTTCCGAATGAATGTTTTTCATTCTTTTGATATGCCTCTTGCTGAACAGGATGCTGCACGTTGCCGTAATCCTTTTCCATGCAGGCAGCATGAGTATTTATAATCCACTCTTTTCGCCTCTTCGGAGGCAAAGAGTTCAGTGCACAAGGCATTTGACAGGAAGTGCGCTCTGCGGTAGATTCCGTGACAAACGAGGACATAATCCTGTTCAGAGTTTTACTCAAAGGCGAGCCGTCCGATCGCATCGACTCACTCTGGTCTCTCTCGGGTTTCTTCACAGCCACATCGCTGGCTTGGCTCTTTTTTGAGTTCAGAGCTGTGGTTTGTATTTCAGGTGAAGTGATTTGCTCGGTCATCTTCTTCACAGTTTTTTCAAACTCTAAGATTGAAGAGACCTTCTGCTGTGCACCACACTTGTCTGTTTGTTGACTTTTTGCTTTCCTGTGCTCTTCTTGATGCTTTGAACGCGCCCTCTGCTCTTGATCCTCCCTGTGCCTGTCTCTCGTTTTGGCTTCATTTTCACCGCACGAAGTGAACAAACGATTGCTGGTCGATCGCGCGTCTGTCGTCACAGGACTCACCAACTCTGGTGAGAGACTGAAGACATCACGAATGACTGGCCCTGTCGAAGAGGTAGAAGCATGCTTGGTTGACCTCACGGAACCTTGAACGATATCCTTAACGCCCGGCCGTGTGCCGCTTTGCGGTTGCTGCAAGACGTGACCGAACATTATGTTTGGATGCTCCTTCGTTGGGTGGGCATGAGAAAGTTTGTTTCCATCGACCTGTTTTTCCTCGACATGGCTCTCAGTGTTCTGAACGGCTCCCCAACTGTAGACTCGGCTGATGACCGGCAAGTTTGCGTAAGGGCCGCAGTTTGACACTGCGCTGTCGCTCCATGCCCACTTTATGCGTGGCAACGAGGCATCTTGACAGACGGTCCTGGGAACAGCTGTCGTGGGAGAGTTGTTCATGGGATGGATCAGAAGCTGCTCCGGCGCGTCGCGTGTCGACTGGCAGAAGGACTGCGTGTGCGGTTGTTGCTGTTCGGAAAAAGAGCTCGGAGACGTTTTCTTCGGCACGTTTGGATCTCTGTTTCTGACGATTGCTTGGGACTGAACTGTTGATGACCTTGGAGGCCAATGGGCATGGTCAGCCTCCACTTTCGGAAGCACTTCACCCTTGAGGTGTTTCTCTCTTGAACAAGCCAACAAAGAATTCACAGAGTGAACCCTGCTTTGATGACGCACGCTTCTCTGCTTTATTACAGAGTTTGACACTTCAGGGGACCTGTCGGAATATTGAACATGTACAAGCTTGGGTGGCTTTTCCAATGGTCTGGCGGAAATGTGTTTCTCTCGGTAGTCCTGCTGTGATGAGGAAAGAGCAGGGCTGCATGCCAAAGAACTACCCATGTTCGTGTGATGGTCGTACGGTCTGCTTTTGTCTAAATATAAGGCCCTCGTATCTTCTTGCGTATTAGGCAAGGAGTTACTGAAAGCGGGGGAATTCTGATATGGGTAATGCATGGGATATTTTCTTGAAAACGATGTCGACTGTATTGGTGGCAAATTTACGACTGTGTTTTTAACAGAACCCAACACCATGTGAGGTGCCAAGTTGGCCACAGAGGAGGGATGCATGGAAAACATCTTGGGGAAGTCTACATTTTGAAAATTCTGAAACATTCTCGCAGGGTCAGTGAAGGTCGCTGTGGTCTTGCCAAAACCGCTCTGAAGGGGGGCCTGGGTTGCCAGCAGCACGCCGCCGCTACAGGTCGTGACCAGGGGCACGGTGGTCTCCTTACTCGCTATCGAGCAACTGGGAAAGACGCCACAAACCTGACCAGTGTCCAAGCCAACAGAGCTCTGATTGCACTGGTCAGCAAAGCCAAATGCGAGCGGGAATTGAGAAGAGTCTTGCTTGTGTTTTAAGGAAAGAGCTTCCTTTTGGCAGTGCACATACACCGGGTAGGCGTTGTGCTGTGTGCCCACCAGCTGAGTGGATCTTCTCTCGATGAAGTTGTTTGGCGCGTGACTGATGGTGGAGGTCGTGAGCACCGGTGATATCGTGGCAGAAATGTTGTGGTTCAAAAGCTGAGAAATGGCCGGGTAGCAGCCTGCTGCTGCTGTGTAGTACGCTGCTACATTGGGATGCCCCTCCATTCTTGGCACCTTGCTTGAATCATGAGACTCGATGCAGCTCAGCAGACGTTTCCTTAGACTCATTTTGGGAGCGTCATTGGCAGTGCAGATCTGCGATTAGAAACAAAAACCAAGAGGCAAAGACATTAGAAAAGCAAGGCACGTGTTGTTTAGACGATAAAAAATACATAGGGAAAAATTTACGCAAAATTTTGACTTAAAACTTTCGTGACTACAGGAATTCTTATTCTTTGAGTCACATAGATAGGTTCTTTGAACGACGACTAAGTGGACGCTGAGGGGGGGGGGGCGGGGAGTGAATAATTAACTTAAATGTGAGGCCAACCGTAGGGAAATTACACAATAAAAACGTACCAAAAGTCCATTGTAAAGTCTGTTGTATATGTGGGTTATGAAAATTGGATGAAAATAATAAAAATGTAATGAAATTTGAAGTTTGCATAATTTATCTGAAATGTTAATTTGTGTAATTATGTGTATAAATTATACTAATTCGAGAGATAATCGTATTAATTTATGCGAGTGGGTGTGGTTATGTTAATGACAGCCTTTATGATAATCAGACCCCGCCTCGTTGACGAGGGTCGGTTATCAATCGGGATAATACAATTAATCGTATGCAGTTATGCTAGTGTGATGCGAGTATGCCAGAGTCAACTCGGCTTCGTTGTTTAACTTCGTATTATCGATCAGTATAATACAATTATTCTCGCTTTAACGTTTATTGAGTGGATTAGTGTGTTTATATTTTAGGACACCAAGTTCATATCTCAACGCAGAACCAGTTCTTATGCATAGATTTCAGGAAAGAATCACACGACCACTTCTGCATTAATCAATTTATTTTTAATTAAACCTTAACTCTAAAAGATACAACTCTCGGCTTGGAATTACAACACAGTATCAACACAGTCTCATCAATGACTGGGTTGTTTCACTTTGACAACAGCACCTGTGGTTAATTCCGCCGCGTAACGCGAGCTCGGTTGGTGAGAGAGAGAGTCGTTAAAACATGCATATGCTAATCTAAATAGAAACCTTAACCTCATAATAAATGATGATACTTGAATTGTTCACGCAGTACCGCACTCATTATTGATCATATGCAACCCTTATCACGTTAGCACATTGGGTCACGGAACGGTAGAGTATTCTGTAGAGTACGCGAGTACGTGCGGCGATCAGTAACAAAAGGTACTTCAAGATTATATGACGATATTCATATGAAAAGGTGATCAAAACAGTTATTATTCCCAAAGGCTCAAATATATCAACAGATCCATCGGACAGATTATATGATTACCGAAATGGCTTAGAGTGAGGGTGTGCGGTGGGCGTAGCTCCGTGGCGAAGGTGTCAAGGATTAATTCGTATTGATGGATCGGTTGGTAATTTATGCGATTAGAAGTACAGCCCAAAACAAAATATTAAGGAGGAAAACAATGAATATACCTATAAACGACGGACCGTTATCACCCGATCTGTAGCGATGCTTCCACGGCCACAGATAGTTCACGTTTTGGGATTGGCTTTTGGTTCCTGACTCGTGTATGGGTGAGGGATATAAATTGTGTTGAATAGTCAGTGTTCCGAGTTAATTCTTTGCGTCAAACAGACGCCTGGTTTGTCGTGTAGTGGGGGCAGTGCACGTCATACGTATCAGTCGATTCTTCTGTCACCGTGGTTGATTCGGTTCGGCTGACGTAGGTTGGCGAGCCGACACGCTGTTGTAGTTGCGATGGCCCGTCGGTAGATGGTGCACACAGCTCGCTCGTAGCGTGTGCGGTGGTGCTGTCGGCTTGGCGGCTTGACCACGTTCCGCTCTTAGCGGGCACGGTTGTACGATCGGTAGATGGCGCTCGTCTGCTGGTCGCTGGCACGGTCGTGTCACTGAGTGTTGACCACCGGTTGCGCTATCGGGCGCTGGCGATAGACGTTCCTTGCGATGCTACTTTTGATGGTGCCGACTCGCACCGTGTAGCCCCGTCGCTAAACAGCGAGTCTCGCCATTCTGGCGGCCGGCAGGGACCTCCTCTGCGTCGGCGGCGGCCGATCTCCTGCAGGGATGAGTTGAGCTGGCAAGCTGATGATCTCCCTTGATGAGCTGAGTTGAGCTGGCAAGCGGGTCTTGCCCGCTTGCTGGTGAGCTGAGCTCCCCCTGCGAGCTCCCCCGATGAGCCGAGCTCTGAGCTGGCAAGCGGGTCTTGCCCGCTTGCTGGTGAGCTCCTTGCTGATGAGCTGTGTCGCGAAGTGGTGCGCCGTGGCGCGCAGTGGCGCGCACCGATGAGCTCCCCCGATGAGCTGAGCTCCGATGAGCTGAGCCCTCCCCGATGAGCTGAGCTCCGATGAGCTGAGCCCTCCCCGATGAGCTGAGCTCCAATGAGCTGAGCCCTCCCCGATGAGCCGAGCTTTGAGCTGGTAAGCGGTTCTTACCCGCTTGCTGGTGAGCTCCTTGCTGATGAGCTCCTTGAGCTGGCAAGCGGGTCTTGCCCGCTTGCTGGTGAGCTCCTTGCTGATGAGCTCCTTGAGCTGGCAAGTGGGTCTTGCCCGCTTGCTGACAACCTACTTGCTGATGAGCTCCTTGAGGTGGCAAGCGGGTCTTGCCCGCTTGCTGACAAGCTGAGGTTTCAATGCTGCAGTGTCCTCTTTTTTGCCAAAATCCCTCCTCTTGGCTCCTCCCCACGGCACAGCTCTGTTGCCCTCCTCTTTCCACAAACCATAACAGGTGTTACAAATCGTCTCACAGGCGTCTCTGTCTGTGTCGCACAACCTGGAGGGAGGGGCGATATTCCCTCCGGTGCGACCTTCCCCGTGAGTCCACGTTCGTTAAGGTTTTTTTTAAGTTAACATTTCATTCCACCATAGTCTTACAGTTACGATTCTGTATGTGGCTCGAGGTCGGTTGTGTTAGTTTCCCATCGTGGTGTTTGATTTTATTTCAAGGGAAGGTGCTCTCTTGAGCGTATGCATATTCTTATCATGTGCTGCTGGAAGACAAAGGCAGCCGGGAGACTCTTTTTCCCTGGCCCCCGGTTTAACATCGCTCAAGTATCATGTATTTTTATGTTCAACCAGGTTGTGATTCACCCCGCTATCCGGGCCTCGTCATTTTAAGGTGAATGTTAGTATCAATGTTCGGTGTGACTGTCTTGTAATTTCTTTAACTTACTTTGTTTGCTGAGGTCTGCTGATGGATTCGTTAGCAAGGCATTTCAAGGAATCTCTCTCTCTGCTCCCTCCTCTTGGCTTGCCCGTGTGGTGTGTTATCCTAGCTGTGGTGGGGGAGCGTTATCTACGTTTTCCCAGCCTTGTAAACGCAGGTGCTGAAATAATTGCTTGGCGTCTGGTCCGCTCTCTCACGCTACGATTTAGACAAAGGCGCCTCTGCTTCTCTTCCATTGCCCTTGAGTCAACACTGCCCTATTAGAGAATTCGTTTTGACTTTAGTAAAAATTCTGTGTTTGTCATACGCTTCGGTCAGGTTGTACAGAAACTTATTAAAGATGAATTAACATTCAGTATTGGATTGGCAAATGGGCAATGGTTCATTGATGTAGCTCGTAGCCTGGTCTCCAATTGGAGCGAGCACGAGGATCGATAATTTTAGCTTACTCCTGTGGTTGAATTTCGAACTTTAACGTTACTTTAATAGCATTGCAGGGTCAATGGTTTTTAGCTGCTCTATGTCTATGTCTGCGCTCTCTCCTCTCTGCCTGCACGGGTGACGTGTGCGTCATTCATTAGGCCTTATCTCTCCCTTGAGCAAGGTTGCGATAATTCCGCCATCCTGGCCCTCCTTCAGTTCTCATTACTTATCAACACCTGGTGTTTTGCTGGTGCTGACTTTGCATGTTTTCTTAATTTATTTCTCTAAAAAATATATATATACAGTGAGGGAAAAAAGTATTTGATCCCCTGCTGATTTTGTACGTTTGCCCACTGACAAAAAATGATCAGTCTATAATTTTAATGGTAGGTTTATTTGAACAGTGAGAGACAGAATAACAACAAAAAATCCAGAAAAACGCATGTCAAAAATGTTATAAATTGATTTGCATTTTAATGAGGGAAATAAGTATTTTACCCCCTCTCAATCAGAAAGATTTCTGGCTCCCAGGTGTCTTTTATACAGGTAACGAGCTGAGATTAGGAGCACACTCTTAAAGGGAGTGCTCCTAATCTCAGCTTGTTACCTTATCAAAGACACCTGTCCACAGAAACAATCAATCAGATTCCAAACTCTCCACCATGGCCAAGACCAAAGAGCTCTCCAAGGATGTCAGGGACAAGATTGTAGACCTACACAAGGCTGGAATGGGCTACAAGACCCCTCTGCAAAACATGACTTAGTACTTGGTGGCAAAACCCTTGTTGGCAATCACAGAGGTCAGACGTTTCTTGTAGTTGGCCACCAGGTTTGCACACATCTCAGGAGGGATTTTGTCCCACTCCTCTTTGCAGATCTTCTCCAAGCCATTAAGGTTTCGAGGCTGACGTTTGGCAACTCGAACCTTCAGCTCCCTCCACAGATTTTCTATGGGATTAAGGTCTGGAGACTGGCTAGGCCACTCCAGGACCTTAATGTGCTTCTTCTTGAGCCACTCCTTTGTTGCCTTGGCCGTGTGTTTTGGGTCATTGTCATGCTGGATTACCCATCCACGACCCATTTTCAATGCCCTGGCTGAGGGAAGGAGGTTCTGACCCAAGATTTGACGGTACATGGCCCCGTCCATCGTTCCTTTGATGCGGTGAAGTTGTCCTGTCCCCTTAGCAGAAAAACACTCCCAAAGCATAATGTTTCCACCTCCATGTTTGACGGTGGGGATGGTGTTCTTGGGGTCATAGGCAGCATTTCTCCTCCTCCAAACACGGCGAGTTGAGTTGATGCCAAAGAGCTCCATTTTGGTCTCATCTGACCACAACACTTTCACCCAGTTGTCCTCTGAATCATTCAGATGTTCATTGGCAAACTTCAGACGGGCATATATATGTACTTTCGTGAGCAGGGGGACCTTGCGGGCGCTGCAGGATTTCAGTCCTTCACGGCGTAGTGTGTTACCAATTGTTTTCTTGGTGACTATGGTCCCAGCTGCCTTGAGATCATTGACAAGATCCTCCCGTGTAGTTCTGGGCTGATTCCTCACCGTTCTCATGATCATTGCAACTCCACGAGGTGAGATCTTGCATGGAGCCCCAGGCCGAGGGAGGTTGATAGTTCTTTTGTGTTTCTTCCATTTGCGAATAATCGCACCAACTGTTGTCACCTTCTCACCAAGCTGCTTGGCAATGGTCTTGTAGCCCATTCCAGCCTTGTGTAGGTCTACAATCTTGTCCCTGACATCCTTGGAGAGCTCTTTGGTCTTGGCCATGGTGGAGAGTTTGGAATCCGATTGATTGTTTCTGTGGACAGGTGTCTTTGATAAGGTAACAAGCTGAGATTAGGAGCACTCCCTTTAAGAGTGTGCTTCTAATCTCAGCTCGTTACCTGTATAATAGACACCTGGGAGCCAGAAATCTTTCTGATTGAGAGGGGGTCAAATACTTATTTCCCTCATTAAAATGCAAATCAATTTATAACATTTTTGACATGCATTTTCATGGATTTTTGTTGTTGTTATTCTGTCTCTCACTCTTCAAATAAACCTACCATTAAAATTATAGACTGATCATTTCTTTGTTAGTGGACAAACGTACAAAATCAGCAGGGATCAAATACTTTTTTCCCTCACTGTATGTATCGGCAAATTTCTTGTTAATATTAAATATGGAAAAAGGGGGCCATATACAACAAGTCTTACAATGGAGGGAGCATGGGTTATCTTATATATATACACACAGGACACGCGGGCTACCAAGTTTTTCCAGGACGCCGCTCTATTTGCCGAGACGGCAATTTATGGCAATAATAGCAAGCAGCCCTTGTCACGAAGCACTGCGCCTTTTTGTTCCGCAGACACACGTGCCATTTATCTGTGCTTGTTTTTAATATGTTTGCGAGGACAGCGGTGCCTCTAGCTGCATCGTGCATCACGCGTGGACTCCCTGCTGAAGCAGAAATAATTGCAGCCACTGCAACACAGCCAAGACTTCCCATCGGTTTACCCATGTACCCTCAGCTGTGCGAGGTATCAGCTCTCGGCTAGCCTTACTACACAGAATACGATTCGCATGTGGCCAGAGTACAAATAGGTGCCACGATCCGCAGAAAGTTCCAGATGGTTTCCCCAGTCGCAGCGCACACTGATATAGAAATGTATTCACTGTAAGATGGAAACTCACCTCATTGAATGGAAGCCATTAAGTCTTCAGCTGATTTTTCAACATCTGGCTAAAGACACAAAAACAACATTGGATTATAAAGTGGGCTTATTTCTGAATACAACACACATTTCAATCTAAATGACATGGACACACGCCATGTACGCAACGCTATCAAGCAAGCAGCAGTGTCGGGTGTGGGGATTTCAAGAAGCGCAGGTGTGTTACGGTTCAAACAAAATGCTTTGGCAAGTTTATTTTAACAACACGGGCACTATTCACGAGGCTCAGTAACACCCTAGTGTATTTGAAGGGTTGCACCAGTTTTTACATGTGTACGTTTTAAATTCGAAAGTGCTGGACGCATCTTGAAACTAAATAATGAATTTGAATGAATAATGCATACAAACAGCACACGCGGAAAGACAACCCACAAAAGAGCCGCACGTTGCCCGAGGCCAAAACAATCGTGTTATCGTCTCGTTCTCTCATCTGTGCCCCCTACACCAAGCCAAAACTTTCTGCAGTAGCTCAAGGCAAATATCACGACCACAGTTCCAGAATAAACCCCTCGTTCGTGACCCAAACATCGCACCTCTTGGCTTTGACAGTCCTGGAATACACCGGTGGTGTAACCATCAATCGCATCCGAACATCACCAGGCCAATGCGCACATCTCCTTGACGAATGGAAAATTAACGACAAGCCAGAGTTGTGCAACTGTGGCCATGCAACCCAAACTATGGACCGTATGGTTAACTCACAGACGCATAGAGCTAGAGACAATGAAACTGAGACTCACAGATACACAGAGACCCACAGATACATTAAAGAATAACAATAGTAGTGCCATTGTGGCCATGCAAGCCAAACTATGGACCACAAAGTAATCCACTGTAGTCTGCATTCCTTTAACGGCAGAATACCAAAACTATACAAGCTCTCTCCTGGAACCTTCTCGTGGCTAGCAGACCTTAACATGTAACATAGAATTACTACTCGTGCTTTAGCAGCTGCTTGTACAAAACAC